CATCAGGACAAGGAAGAGCCATCATTTCATCCAGCCCATGCTCTCCAGAACAGTAATGTTTTCTTTTTAGTCCCCTGGTCAATGCTGGTGACCCCAAAAGGTAGAAAGAATTGAAAAAACTTTGCAGGAACAGAAAACAAAGATCAGAACAAACACTTAACAAGACAAGAATTGAACACCTGGAGAGCATTACAGCAAGGACAGCCATGGCAGCAGATTAAAGAGAGGCACAAGGCTCAATTTAATCACAGTTTTCACAGATTTATGTACTATTACTCTCTCTATCCAACCAGTAGAATTTTAATCATTAGATTTTTGGTTTTCTTCCCTGTTATTTTGATCTCAACATGGTTCCAACTTGTCAGGTATTAGGGATGTAAACCTTAATTAGTTAGGAACAGGAATAAGTTCAATTTCACACTACAGAATTTCACACTTGATTTTAATCATAGCAAAATAAAACTGAAATCCAAAGTTTAATCTTAGAGTGACAATACTGGAAACTATTCTAATGATTTTCCTAAAGTCTGACTGTAGACTTGTTGGAAACTATGGTTTCCAAACTACTTGTCGTTTGTGGACTAGGCATCAGGCTAGACCCAGGGAACCTGGATTCAATCCCCAATCTCATGCTAATCTGAAGAGTCATTTTCCTAAACCAAGAAAGGGAGACTGCTTCTCTAGCAGGCACCGTTCCCCATTTCGTAGTCTTGCCTGCACAATCCTTCTTGGTTTTGTTCTAAGACTGGGAAGGAGCACAGGGTTGAGAACGTCTCCAGCAGCAGGTGTTCGACACAAAGAACACACCAAGCAGCTGCTGTTTCCTCTTTCTCAGCAAGGATTTTACAGTTATCCAGGGCAGCACAGAAAAACACTCACGAGAGAGAAGTGGGGTAGCAAACCTTAAAGAAGTAAAGCAGCTGGGAAAATACAATTTTAAACATTGATTAACAGAACTTTACAGGAAATGTCATCTAGAAAAAAATCATGGATCAAATTAGGTTGGGTGTAATGTTTACCTTCTCTTTTTGTTCCTCTTCTGGTAGCCCTTCACATTTCTATTTCAAATTGTCAAGTATTCTATTGCTTTGCATATATAGAGTATACATATACACAGTATCCTTAAAGAATGGAAAGAAAATTCTGCAGTACACCATCCTTCCCCAAACCATTTGCTTTCCAAATCTCCAGCTAATAAGAGGCTGCTAAAGTACATCTACCTCCAAAAGTGACATGCAACCTGAGTGAGTGCTGCAAGCTTTCAGCTTGAGACTGAAACTGTGGATAAGAGAAGCGTAAGCAGTATATTTGGTTAGCCATTAATCTGGGCTAAGAACACAGACTATCAGGAAAATTGCCTTCCACTACCACTTATTGCAGTTACAGCTACATTTTATAAATGTAGCCATTAGCATGTTCTGCTCCAGGCTGTGCAAAGGGAGATAACCATGACCAGAACACAAACACTGGTGTGTGTTACATTTCAACAGAAAATGCTGGATTTTTGACCCCAGGAGCTAAAAAAAGGTGAAATTAATTTGACTAATACACACTGATACTGACTCTGCTTTGTGTGAGTTACATGCAGCATCCATCAAAGCTGAGTGTGAGGAGGAAATAATGAATTTGTGGATGCACATACAATGAACATTTCTTATGTTTTATAGATCTGTGGCCACTATTGGAGGCATTTAAAGAGGAGGAAAAATGCTAGTTACTACAGAGTAGAGATACAATTTAATAATGGTTTGCAAAGCAGAAGCTTTTAATTTTATAGGAAAAAAAGACTAGTAGTGGATAAAGAAAGAAGACCTGTTTTCAGAAAGAGAGAAAGGTCTTTAACTGTTGTCAGCCTGTGCATAAGGAGACAAGAACTGGATTTCCAGCACTCTCTCATTCCCAAACTGGCCTTAACAGTAATTTTTAAGCCCACTGAAAGAGATAAGTTCTCTTTAACTGTGTGACTGTCTGCACAGCTGCAGCATCTTAGAGAAATATTTGGCTTCATGTGCTCTAAACTCATGTTTTAGTTTCCCTGTCATAAGTGTTACACTTCCGTAGCAGAAGTTTAGACTTCTGTTTCACTGCAATATGTCTGTATGTTATTTTTTGTCTTCAGTTTGTTTAGTACCAAAGGCAAATCTGGGGGAAGATGACAAACCACAGCTGCATTTTCTTGTGCAACAGCCAGGGTTGGCTCACAGAAAATCTCTTGGAGTTTGCAACCCACCATGGAAACTTGGGGCTGGGGACTTTGTGCTGCCAAGTTTCCATAGTCACGTTTGTGGCTGATATTGCTGAACCTTGTGTCAATGAGAAAGGGGGAGGACAGAGCAAGGAGTCACAACTGCAAGAAGCCCTCACTCCTGGGAGCTAGCCCAACTCATCAGAGGTGTCAGTCTGGGTGAAGCAGACAGCTGACTTCTGCATTCTCCAGGAGTCCACACTATTGTCCTGGCTGCTCCATTGCTGTGGGAGGCAAACTGCAACCTGCCCAAGCTGGCTCCATAGTTACTCATCCACAAGTCTCTGGAGAAACTGGAGTAATCCTTGAAGAATTATAAACATGCCTCTACATGTATGATAATGTGTTAATCAGGAGTAAAGGGAATAAATTTCTTCATTAGTTTGCAAGTTACCAAAACCAGTTCTTGTGGTTAAGTCCTGCAATTTTTATTATAATAAAATTAATGATAAAATTAATTTATTACTCCCTATACACACAGCTCTGCCCTTGACACAAAGGGATTTTTTTTCCCCGAATTATCTGTGCACAAGACTTTTGAGGCTTCCTTTTGCATTCCTTTTTCACTACCCCATCCATCAGCCAGTGTTACACTAGTAGAAACAAAAAAAACCAGAAATTTTTCCATGCTGTGCAACAGCAATGTCAAACAGGCCATGGAGCTCACAGCCAAGAAAAATATAGGAAAAGAGACTAAAGCTATTCACAGAACTGCAAGTTATTTTGCTAGTGAATTTCCATAGGTCACCCAGTGTCAGCTATGAGATAATGATGACTGTGATTACCACAACACACCTGCTCACTCTGCACATAATTCCTGGTTTTGATGGACTCATGGCTTTAGCAGCTCTATCCAAAGATTGTAAGTCTGGCCCTGTATGTTTAGGGCACAGCAATACCAACAGAAGGCACTGCTCTTCACACTTTGCTGCACAAAAGCAGGCAGCCTCTTCAGCTGTTTCTAATACTCAAACAGGGAAATGTTTATTCCCAGAGCCAGGGCTCTTTTACTGGCAGACAGAAAAGATGACTGAAAGGGACAGGAATTATATTTGAAGGCAGGCTTGCAGAGAAGGGAAAGGGAGCACCAGTCACACCAATAACAGCAGAACACATTGATGTAATGTGGGATATTACATATAAATAGCCCTAGAATTATCAATTCCAATTCTCTTAGCAGAGATCAAGGCATCCCAAGGTAGAGAAATCTTTAGTGCTGAGAGACCCGCTGTGGGCACAAGACTACTTCTGACACCGGTTCAGAATGCAGCAGTTCCTTAGGAAATACGGCTGAGGGAGTTACACAAATACAGCAGGGTTGTCCCAAAAAGCTGGCACCATCTGACAGCTTCATAGGAGTCTCTGAAGTGACCATGTGATGTCAAACCACCTCCTGGAAGAAAAACCTGTATGTCCAATCAACAATCCCTTACCCCATGCTCCCCCGAGTTTCATGATTGCCAAGGTTATAATAACCCAGGAAGGTGATTAGAACATTGTTTTTCCCTGCTAGACAGTTGACTATTGTACTACAGATGGAATTATTTCTGAGGTATACTAAAACACTTACATGAACTGTAACCACCTCAGGTGACAGCTGTGTGTTTGACTGGGTTCAATTTACAATGTTAACATAGATAACAGACACCCACCCCATTGAGGAAGACAAGCCTAAATTCTGGGGTTTATGAGTATGGCTTGTTTTGAAAAGGTCTCAAAAGTCAAGGTCAGCACCTTTGGGGAAGAAAGATCTAAGTAGCAAACACACAAACTTATCCCATGCCTCACCAAAGAATGCCTGTGCTGTCTCATTTAAAGTTTTCATGGAAAATATGGAGTGACTTTTAACAATTACATGAATATTGACATTTCAGTTGATAAGAGTCATTTTAATGATGGTATATTAAAAAGTAACTATATTTAAGTTCTAATAACATGGTTTTTTGACTGCACATAGTAGACACACAGTGCAGCTCTGTACAAGCAGTAGCTCTGTGAGACAGGATAATCTTAATCCAGACATACAGAGAAAATGATTTAATACAATACTGATTTGGATTTGGCTGCACAAACAGGACTATTTAGGTTCTGGATACTTAGTTATCACTGAAAACAAGTATGTTTATAAAACACCAGGTCAGCATTTTTTAGCCACCAGAGAGGAGGAAAAAAAAGTGAAAATTATTTTTCCTCTTTTTGTGCACAAATTGTATCACACCCTGACAAAGAGATTCAGACTATTCAAAGAGGAAAGGAGCCCCATACATTTTATTTATATATCTAAGGTTTTTTGTTTTTTTCTAACATAACAGGGTGTTATTTATGCTTCCTAAAATGGAAGGATCAGCATGGCAGTATTAACAGTGCCCAACTTTAATCCAAGTGTGTTAACAGACATATGTTTTTAACATAGCCAGTGGGTAAAGAGACAGGATCCTCCTGTTAAATTTCAGATTATGCTTTCCTGAAGTAGTGTCTGCCACCATCATCCTCATCCACAGAGAGTGTAAGGAAAATGGATTCCCTGGTCTAAAATTAACCTACATATAATCCCTCTCCTTCCTCACACCACTCCCTTCAAACTCACCTTATCCTTACAAACTCACTGTTTGTTTTCAGCCAATGGAAAAAAGAGTTTAGTTAGTTTGTCTTGATAACACCTATCTCATGGGTGTGGGGTAATTGTGTGTGCTCCTGTCAGCTTTTTGCATACATTGCTAAGTGTAAATACAAAATGGTTATCCAGGCTAATTACCTGCAGGGAGTTGTTGGCATATAGTCAGTCATGGATGGGGCTTGGAGAGATGTATTGCACCAAGTTCTTCAAGGTTACTGTAAAAAAACAGAAGCACAGTGAAGGGAAATAATCCTCTTTTTGGATGTTCTTATCTCTTTTCAACTTCTGAGAAAGTACTTCAGCATTTTTCAGATCAACTGCAATTTTTTCTCAGGTCAAAAAAGAGGCCAAGCAAAATTCAGAAGGAACAAAAGTTTTGAAAGCTAAATTACCTCCACTCTCAAAGAAAATTGTGCAAAATTATGCCTTTAAATTCAGGAAGCAGCAAATATATAGCTCTTGGTAACCTTAAACACCAGTAGTTATTTATTTATACTTAAGAAGTTCTACACCCTTCTGGAATAAAAGAATTTCTGTGCTGGTTCAAGCTGACATGTTAATTTTGCCTGCAATTATCCTGTACATTGAGTGAATGGATAAATACCCCGTGCTGGAACAGCCGTGTCAGGCACCTCCTGACAGCAAAGCTATTCCCAGATGGTGCAAAGCACTATTCCATGGTACCTGTGGTGGTGTGTGCTATCAACATATCCTCAAGTGGCCTTCAGGTACTTCACATGACAATTCTACCTCAGCTGCAGTTACAGAGTGCTGTTATCTGAGGAACACACCAAAGCCAGGGTACCACCTAAATAAATATGTTCTGCAGGTACAGGAACTACCACAGCAAAGCAGCTCGGATACTGTTCAGTTGTGTGAAGGCTTTTGCATCATGTAGAATAAATTAGTAGACAGAATAAACTAATCATGCTTTAACAAAAGAACAGGAACAGGAGACCTGTATTTTTCATGCATTATTTCAAAATTTTCCAGGTTATACAAGTGCTGTCTCTTTTGTCACTTTTTTCTCTCACATCAACAAAAGATTTAAAAACTGTGGCTTATAGGAAATTTGTAGCCAAGAGATTAAATAATTCACAACATAAAACTTTTCCAGATTCCCAAAACATTACAAATTTTCATTATATTAAAAGATAAATTACATACACTTCTGAAAAATGTTTGCTGAATCCCCCAAGACAACTAGACCCTCCAGAACAAGGGAGGTCTAAATTATACATGTATGAATACATGTGTTTTAAAGTGAATAAATGTAAAAGGTCAGTGTGCTACACAGTAAGAAAGAACCCTAATTCTAAACAAACTAACTAAAGTTAAGGTCTCATTTTTGATGAAAACATCAATTTTGATTGACTTCTCCAAAATGGTTTCATTTACATTTGGAAATGCATCTTTAAAAAAAAAGCCTTTTTCCTTCTGCTGCTCTTAGCGTGCCCTCTCCCCTTACACAATTTCTGAAAGTGGTTTCAAGAGAAAAGTGAGTCATTTTAGACTGACTGATCAGCCTCAAGAGAGTAAAAAGGGTTGTGTTAGTTTTCACTAGCATGGAGCAGGGAGGAGCTCTTCTCTACATAACTGGGAAACCTGCTGAGTAAGATGATGTTCTTTTTATACTGCATAATGATCTGGGCATGGACCAGCTTTTCCAGAGACAGCTATTCATCTGCTTAACTTGAGTGCATTAAAATTCCCTGCTCCCCTATCATCAATTTCCTCACTCTTGCACCTCCATTCTGACCAGAGAGCATCACAAAATCAGGTGAAGGAGTAATTGCTTCAAGTGCTTCTTGATGATTTGAAACAGAGCTATACCTTTTCCAAGCAGCAGCAAATCAGCCAGGTAATATTATGCCAATAACTAAAAGCAGGCATAATAGAAAATTTCAGAATTAAAAGTGGTTGAGTGCAATTTAAAAGCACAGAAAACACTCCCTTCCCTTCTGCAGCCTGCTCAGGGAAGCATGTACCATGTCCAAGCCTCAGAGAAGGAGTTTAACACAGTAAATATAACACTATTCAGAAGCCTCCTCCTCCTCTCCCAGAATTAGGCAGAATCAACAGAAGCACAGAGATTATTTCCTATGTAAAAACTTCCATATATCCTTTCTAATTTAAGGTTTGGTCACTTCTTTGTTCCTCAGTCTTTTTCTAACAGCAGGACCTTCGGAAAGTGCAGAGTGACAGCCAAGATACTTTGGAGCTGGGCTGGTTCCCAGTGCCAGCAGAGATGGAGGAGGTGTGGGTGTGAGCACAGAGCCATTGCCAGTCACAGCAGCAGCTCTTGCTGCCCCCTGCACTGCTGCTCAGCTCCTCCAGATGTGCCAGTGCAGATTACAGGTGTCACCTGTGCAGCAGGACACTGCTGCTCAGCCCAGGTATTAATAGATCTCTTATTCATGCTCTAAATAACCTCCCTAAAGTTCTGAGATAAAGATGTTATTGCAGCTGTCTCTGTTCTGAGGAACCACTCCTTGAATACAGTTTTTGTCTTCAGTTTCTAAACGGAATTTTATTGAAGAGACCATCTTTAGTTGCCAAACTTTCTGATCTTCAATCCTACAGAAACAGATCATGGTAGTATAATTTTCAGAAGAAATGGAGATGAATTATCATAGAAGATTTTCTGAGATCTTTCCAAACAGATATTGTATTGTCCTTGGTAACAATGGATGAGACCCTTTTGACCAACTTTAAAAACTGGGATACTTCAGGTACAGGATGTACAGGAGGCTGCTGCACATGAGCACTCAAATGATTCCCAGTAATTCCCAGAAAAATCAGATTTCTGTTTCTACTAGGAAGTATTACCATTTCCCAAACACAACTAACACAGCTTTCCATTAGGAATTATGTGGAAAAAAAACAAAAAACAAAACAACCCAAAACCTGAGCCATTTCTGTCAGTTATTACATGTGAAAAAACAAAACCTCAGACCACTGGTAAGAAGGCAAGAAGCAACAGGCTGTCTTCTAAAAGAAAAAAAATACATTATATAACTTGTGAATAATCTGAACTGCAGTTATTGCATCTGCAAGCAAAAAACCCAAGCATTTTCTATACAAAACAAAAAAAGAAGCAGCTCAGTAAATCTTCCTTAAGCCAATCCTGAAGTTCTAGTGTTCAAAAATTCCTCTGTTCCCAAGGAATTCTGAAAACCCTTGTGCACCCTCAAGTGAAAAATCTCTACTCCAAACATGGTTTTGGGACTTGGTTCCAATCATTAGCACAGATGATCCTAGAATAACTACCAAAGTTTTAGTTTATTGATTTCTCTTTTTACTGATGCATTTCCAAGAATATTCAAGCTGCTTTTCCTAATTTGGAGCAAATTTTTGTTTTTCCTTGTCCTCTGACACATCTAGATGTAGGAGAGCTCCTGTGGATAATGACATTATAAATAACCATACAGTGATGGTAACAAGTATCATCTGTAACTAGGATTTGTTCAAATTCTCTGAGCAGAAATCTTCCAAGGTGGCTGCAGGAGATGCCTGCTGAATACAGGGTTCTTTGTGCACTTAAACAGATGTTCATCCTGCTTATTCATTTTAATCTGCTAAAAGTATCTTAGCTAGAAACATCTTAAGAACAATTTTATCAGCTTAACTGTACAGTAAGGAACAGAACTTGGGACATGATTAGAGCACAAAGAATTATAAAAGCCTTGAACATGTGCCACATATAAATTGGCATTAAGCCGACCCAAAAAATAACCATTTTTCTTTTCAGAAGGATGCGTCTTCATAGAATTGCAGCATGTAAGTTAATGGCTTTTATAAATCTTCAGTAAGAACATAAAAAACATAATGAAACTTAATGAGACTTAACTATGATGTAAATCTTAATTCATCTTACTCCAACCAGTGATTTTCAGGGATTTTTATGGTAGTATTTTTGAAGCTGTTTTCTCACAAACAAGAGATTTTCTTTCAGTGTCTCTTTAGGTTGCCTCATGAAATAAGTCGTGTAGCACTGAAACACCCCTTGCAGTCTAGAATTCTATATGTCACAAAAGGAAACAGACAGCTTCTTTGATTCACCTTCTTATATTCAGCTGTCTTGCCCCCCATCTAATGCAGAAACCATTAAGAAGATTAGGTAAATAGATTCAATTTGCTATGTGCCAATCAATATTACAGAGTCTGTGTGTTTTGTGTTCATAAATAGAAAACAGCACAAGTTAATTGCAAAACCACATATCACAAATGACTACAAATCTGCTTTAACTATCTCCATTTTTCTTTATTTCACGATGGCTTTAGTAACCTTCACACTCATCTCACTGAGCCATAAACCCTGATTAGGGGCACTAAATGACTGGAATGTTCCTGGGAGCTGATTACATGCATTTTGCTTATGGCTTATCAAGTCTTATCTACTGATAAGTTCTTCCTCATCTCCCTTCTTCAGAATACAAGCTGTGGGATGTGGAAAATATTCCACTGGTTTTATCAAAGACATAAATGAACTGAATCTTCACTGGTATAATACTCTGTGGTCTAAGGAACCAACAATTCTTTGCCAATTTACCTACCCTGACACTGTAGATTCCACTAATGGATACTTCTATGGGTTTAAACATGACAAGACATATTTGTTTCAGGATCTTTTTAAAAAATATTTTTATGGCTTTAAATATTTTGTTTTGAATTGGACTTTTCCACAGAGGTGTCATCACCAAAGCCAACAAACAACCTCCAAACAAAACAAAAGCCCAAAAAAGGCACCCCTGCCTTCCCAAGCCCACCCCCCACAAAAAAAAAGAAACCAAAACAATAAAATTAAACCAAACAAAAAAAAACTTAAGTCATTAACTAAACAATTCAACTCTATGCAGCATAAAGGCATAGAAATTAAATAGCTGGCAAGAAAGATTGATCTTTCCAGCTGTACAGTTTTCCATGAAAAAACCATCACAGATCAGCAACTTTTCCCACAAAGGCAGAGGGAACAGCAAGAGTACAACAGGTGCACTCTGTAGCTGTAAATTTCTTGCACAGCTGATGGAACTGACTCTCCACTGCATCAGTATTTGGACCAAAATTCAAAGCAGATCATATCAGAACATAAACTGGCAAGCACTTATTCCTTGTTCATTGTTTTGGAGATTTCTTGTATGAATTCAGTGACAAATGGAAGCAAACGAAGGGTTTACCATTTCTGTATCACAGTACACTAGGAAAGAGCCTTAAGATAAGGGTGGGAAATGATTCTTTACAATGAAACCTTACCATGCCTAGCTCTACAAAACAGTTACAGAACAAACTTGCAAAAATGTATAGATATTGCAGGAAAGAGAATCTGGAAAGGCAGATGTCAATCTACATCACTTTTGGAAATAACAATATACAGAAATAAAATATTTTTTCATATATTTCTTGTAAATAAGATTTCTATATATAAAATTTATTGAGAATTTATTTATTCTAAAGAGTTTCTAATAATCACAATGGCTCTCAACGCATGAAAACCCAATTTAAATCATCTGGCTTCATTTTTCCCCTGCTAATATAAGTCTTAAGCAGGTGATTACTCATATCTGCTTTAAAGTATGCTAACAACCACAGAAGACCTGACTCTGCCTGTACTATAGGCCAAAGACTTGCCTGCATTATATTGGCTACTCCCATTACTTGGAGACAAACATTTAAATGCCTGCTTGATTAAAGGTTCAAAGCCTGTTTTGAATATTATAATCTCATGGATGCTATATTTTTCTGAATCCATTGTATAAACACTGAGAACTGACAAACCAAACCAATCAGAGAATGACTGATTTTGATGGTGTTTGCATAGTGATTATTTAGTATCTTGTATCCAGATAATTGATTCCTTTTTTGTTCATTATCTCATTATCTTTTGTTCCTTCATCTCATTCATCCTGAAATATAAATAATTTGTGTATTTTAATGTAATAAGCTTAATACAGACAGCAAAGCAGTCTAGGATTATAGGTACTTAATAGTTAAACATTCCTTATTAGTTCATTTTTCATTATAGTCTTAATTTTAAAGGAACAAAACCAAATTTTAAAAAAGTAATACAAAAATAAGTGATTTTTTTCATCTGCACCATAGTTTTGAAACTGAAAACCTATTCTCTGGTATTTTCATATAGTTAATAAAAAAAAAAAGGTCATTGGAACATTATGGCAATGCCAGGAGGGAGGAGGAAATAGTAGATGGATCACTATTAGTGTGGAACCCTCAGGTATCAAAATGACACCCACAGAATGTAGGTGGGTATTTAAAGGAACTGTGTTCACAAAGCTGGCCAAGCACAAAACAAAGCCTCTCAGACACACCAGCTCCAGTGGCACCAACTGCAGAGAGATGGGTGACTTTGAAGGCTTTTAACAATATTTTTCAGTAATCATTCAGTCACAAATGCTTGGGCAGTGAACTAACCTTGAACCATCTTTTCATTAATATAATCTTCCTCTCATCTTTCAACACAAAAACACTTTCACACTCCAAAATGACTGTCCAAATACCACAATCAGAACAGTTCCTCTCAGGATGAAGGGAGTCTTACTACATGTCACTGTGAAATACAGCAATATTCCTCTTCTGCTGCTTTCTGCAGGGCACTCCCTGGCAGGGTTAATGGATTTGTACTGAAAGCATGGAATTCAGCAAGTCAGAATGGCAGTAAGGGAACCAATAAACTGGTGCTAGCTCTCCTGGGGAAGATATTCCAATGTTGTTTATGGTAGTAGGAGGAAAGGAAAGGAGAGATGAAATCATTAGTTCTACAAGCTTTAATTAAATATATTTTAGATTCATTTTTAGATCTGAAAGAATGAGTCCTGAAGTTTTTCTTGGTAGGGCAGTGGCTGCAGTCTGGAAAGCAAAATGCTCAAGTTCTCACTTTACAAGTGGACAAGACGTCTAGGAAACAGAAAATTTCTCTTTGATTGCCAACTCCTATGAATGTTTACTGTATTACAGAGATGATTTCTGGCCATCTCTTTCAACAGCCACAGAAGGATCCTAAGTTTCTGTGGTTCCTCTTGACAATACAGTCATGCTTCCTTTCACCACTGCCTCCAGAGGCAACTCAAGCCAGGCTTTTGTGAGTAGGAACTCAGAAAAATGCAGGGACACAGGATAAATCAAGATGATAGGAAGATGAAGGGATTGAGAGAGATTAAAAGAAAAAGAAGTGGAAGCTGAAATTTTTAGAACATATACCAAGGAAGGCATAGTAGAAGTGACTTGGGTTTTTTTTAAGCTTATATTGTTTGAATGCTTATGACTTACAAGTCTTCAACACTGCAGGAACTCATATAAGGCACGAGATTTTCTGGACTTGGATGGGATAGAAATCTTTCCAGGATTCTCATAATAACCTGACTTTCCAGGATTCTCATAATAACCTGAAGAAGAATTTTAGTTATTGTATCATATACATACTATAGACTTTAGAAGACTTAAAACCTGTATAGTTTTTAACTGTCTATTGCAGTGTTCATTAACATCTCTGCTAAAAAATTCTGCTACTTAGCATTCATGGAACCAGTGTGCATTAAGCAAAAGCTGATGAATAAAAATAATATTTTTAATGTTTAGCAATCCCTCCTTTTTCAGCAATTAAATTACAAGCACCTGCATGCTTTGGTATCTAATTAAATTTCCTAAAATACCTTTCCTACTGATGTAATTTAGATGTTTCCTAGAACATTTAAAAGCTGCTGGAATTGTTTAAGTGAGCATACTGTTCAACAACTGAATGACACACGAGTCAGGGAAAGCAGTGTGTTTACTTTACAGAGATCCCATCATTACTGGCTTATTTTAGTGGTAATAAATAGCTTATATGATTCTCTAGCTTGCAAACATTACTCTACTTTATGATTTTCTGAGCACATTACAATAAGCAGTGTATTCTTGCAGTACATAAGGGGAAACTTTTCTGAGGCCCCTGCACCTACCAGGAGATTACTGACATTAATTTGCATTTATTTGTCCTGGTTTCTGTGGCCACAAGTGTAATATGGATATACTCCCACACAAGCATGATCATTGAAAAACTTGGTTTTGTGTATTCACATTTTACCATTATTAAGATGGGCATGTTAAGACCTACTGCTTTTTTCCTAACTCCACTCCCACCCATCCCACATCATCCACATTGATTAAAACTGAACTACTTCAATCCTGCCTACCCAACACATATCATTAGGGGCAGCAGCCATACAACTCTCAAGCAGGTCCTTACATCCTTTAATTTCTTGCAAACCTTTAAACCACAAGCTCTGTGGGACAGAGACAGATACTCACCATGTTTTACTCAGACCTAGCTGAGGCTTTTTGACACCGTGGCAATATTTGACCACAAACTACGTCAATCAGCAGCACTCTTGACTCCTCAGTCAAAGCTGGGCATTCCAAGCCTTCAATTAATAAGTTTCCAAAAGCAAAAAATGGCACATCTTAGACTCATTCATGTTTCCTACATCATGAACAGCAGTAATTTTTTGCTTGCCTCTTTTTATTTCCCTTTCCTTAATCCCTTGCAGAATAACAAAAATTAAAATCTAGAATTTCACTTACTTACGAGATTCTTTATTCTTTTATTTGTCTTGTCAGATTTACTGCATCTATACAATTCCCCTAGTAGATTAAGAAGCCTCAGAGGCTATTGCTCAGATTAAGCATGAGTTCTTACTGTAATCTTCTTATTCTCAATGTTTCCATCTTCTGCTCTATCCACATGATTAAACAATAAGTATATTATATCTTTCAGTACATCTGTCAGTTCAGGTCCCATCACTCAGCCTATTTCTGACATAGCCCACTGCAATGAGATTTGGTATCTGTCCTTCATAGTGCATTTAGTCCAATTTTCAAGCATTCTAGAAAATTGTCTTATTCAGTGATGCTTAGGTTATTTCATATGCTGCCATTTTGTGCCATCTTTCAGTACAAAAGGTCTTTAATAAGGTACCAGGAAGGGCCATTACTTAAATTACAAGTGATACTATGTAGGTCTAAACAGAATATCCCACCTCAAAAAAATTGTATCAATCTTCTTCTGAAGTATAATGTGACCATTAATTTTAACACAATTTGCTGCCTTGGGAAATAGGCATGAACCCACTCACAAGCTTTCAATGGTTTCCAAAAAAAGGCTGATGGACTGATGGATCATTATTACAAATTCTACTGAAAGACAGTCCAGCACCTTAGATAATGAAGAAAGTATAATACTCTAAGTGTGATGTATCTCTGTTTTCCTCTTTTCTGGCTGGATCCTCAGCAGATCTGACAGTTAAATACAGACTAAAGAAAAAAGACATACTGAGGAAATATTTTTTTATCAAGTGTCTGTGTAGGCTAGGAAGAATATTTGTGTTTCACTTGGAACATATTTATCTAACAATACCATTTCTTTCCTATTATTAGTTACTAATTGAGGGTTTCTCTTATTGTTGAGGTTCATTAAAATATTAAAACAAACATGAGACATTAGGATGGGCCAGAATCCTAAAACTTGCAGCAACTTAAATAACATTCTTCTGGTTGAAATATACCAAGTTCAGGCTCAGTCCTCCAAAATGTGGAGAATTCTTTTGGCCTTTTGATTGGGATTAGGTTGCCAATAAACAAAAGCCTGACCTTTTGGTGAGGCCACCCAAATATATTTGTTTCAGCAAATAAAGCTCCAGTAAGAAGCATTTGCCTACAACCCATCGTTCTGCTGGCTCTGGAAAGGCTCCATCGCTCCACTGCTGGCAGTGACCGAGTAAAGCCAGAAGCTGGGCAGCACTTCCCAAGAGAGGGAATGGAAGGGAGCAGGACAGTGGGAGAACCCAAAACAGGACAGAAAAAATCCCACAAAACCAGACCTTAACACTTGGGCTTGACCTGTTGGACACTTAGTTAAGCACTTAATTAAATCAACTAAATATTACCCAAAGCAGAAACAGCAACTTCCGTTATCAAGTGTGGTGCCAGGAGAGTCTATAAACATTCCTGTGCAGAAAAGAGCCGCAGCAATGAAGCCTAACCAGAAAACACTTGAGCTACAACCACAGTTCCTGTTTTGGGAAGGGGGGAAGGAAGTTATTATTTACATATGGAACATTTGGAGGTGAGCAGGAGGGGATGTAGCATCTGTGCTTTTGCTCTATGGTTATTAATACCTAAGAGGTAGAACCCCAGGTCATGTTTAGAGCTCCTAAACAAATTGTAACAATGAAACTTCACCTCTTCTCAACTCTATGGGGACTAAAAGATCTAAAAAAACAATAATCTCATTAGAAAAGCCAAGAAAATAAGCCTTAAGCAGCTGTTCATTATCTCACAGAAAACATTAACATTCCAGACTTCCTTGACACAATATACAAAAATAGACAAACAAAAATTTAAAACACTTTTGCAACACACCAGCCAAACAATACAAGTGTTCATGTCAGTCGTATTCCTTACATTTTGCATATCAGCTTTTTGAGTCTCACATTTCTTCCTGTGTCAGATAAGGTATGAAGAAACATCCTTCATTTCCATCTAAACTTCTCATCATTTAAGCCAAAGACTTGAACATGCTTTTCCTTTCCAACTCCTCTTCCTGCTTGCTTTTCTAGAAGCAAGGTAGCAGCCACTGCCTGGCCTTTCATCTCAGGCATTTTGAAACAGTATAAAAATGCAATAAAAGTGCTGAATTAAACAGAATAATTTTATTCTGGTGAATTTTTTTAACTCTGCACTTCTTTCAGTGAGTTTCACTCAGTCTTTTCTGAGTCTTGCAAAATCTGTGGTACATTCATCTTCCATCCAGTATCTCTTAAAACCTATTGGAGCAGAAGCTGGGCATCACTTCTTCAAGAAAAACACAGACTAAAGTCTGCAGCCAAACACCGACAAGAGTAATTGGAAAGAACAAACAGTAATCCCACAAAAGCCTACTGGTGGGGCTGTGTCTCCCAGTCTCTCCAGACACAGGGCTCCTGACAGCACACAGTTCCCACTGTTAGCCCTGCAGATCACTGTCCCTCATCACATCCCAGCCCAGGCAGCCCCTCATTCCCACTCTCAGCCCTGCTCCTGCCAGCCCCAGGCACAGCCTGTGCGCAGACCTCTGAAAGCTTGTGGAGCTGGGGATGGACAGAAGGGGGGAATTGTCACCACGTTAAAGGAAGTACCCTAACAGGACAGCTCTTGGGAGTGTGTCATCCTCTTCCCAAAGGCACCTGAACACGAGCCTTTCTAGAAAACTGCTGAAAAGTGATTGGTCTAGTTTGCTCCAGGATTTGAACTACGAAAGCAGAAGGATGTACAGCGACAAAAGAGCATTGACCTAAGATATGTAGGAGCTCTAACCTTCTATATTATCTCCAAATATTACCTCTGTGGGAAGGGAGTCATTCCAAGAAATTACAAATGTCTTTAACAGACTGAAAGGTGCAGGGTCACTTTCCTCCAGTTACTCACAGTACAGAGATTTTATCTAATTTTAGTGCATTGGCTTCCAGCATTTGTAAGATTAAAGCACAGTCATTCGGCTTCTTGCTGAGGAAATATGTTGTTAGGCTAAGACCTGATGTTAGAGATCATGTCATATATGCAAATGATGGTGCATATTCATTAATATGCAAATTAGAACACAAAATCAGATTAATCCCAAAGCCTAAAATCCCCAGCTCTCATGACCTACAGGCTTAAATTGTGCATGTACAACTGCTTGTTCATCAGTGTGACTTTGGCTTGTTTCATGATTAAATACAAATCAGCCACATACAGTTATTTTTTCTATGTAACTAGATGCTATCTAGGTTAGAACTGAAATATTTCTTGTAAAGACTTATTCTTGCAAACACCTTTCAAAGACTACTCAGACATCTGCAGGTTTGCATGTTTTATTCCATGTTAGCATGGAATACCAGCTAGTTCAGGCAGGTGTTCAAGAGCACTATCTTTTCTTTTTAACCCCTCATTAAATGGAATCAGTTGCTAATGCAGCAAATCCATTTATTTAGTTTTTGATTGATTTTCTAAGAGTTACACAGCAAAAATCTCCACTGAGGTCTGATCAGCTGCATGGGGACAGTAAGTATATAAAAACCTTTGGCTACCAAAATCAAAAACATCTTTCAAAACACTGTCTGAAAATCTTCACCACACTGGATACACTCATACAGCTACTGGATAACTGAGTTATAATAGTCTGCATTTATTAAGCAACTTCAAACTTGTGCACTTTAATAGTTAAGCCCAGAAATTGACTTCTACACTGATGGATCCTTTGAAAGAAGGGACACAGAGCTAAAGTCACTCTCATCAAAGGCAATCATCAGTTACACTTTACTCCAAACTATATCAAACTATCATCTTCATAATTTCAGGGTTA